TAAACATATCCACATTTTTTGGTGACTGTATTTTTTCTTGCGGCTGTTTCCCTTATAGTGGATGATTTTATAAAGGAGAGATCCTGCTCACCTGACCTTCATTCAGTTGTGTTCCTGCTGCTTACCTAGATGTAGAGGGTGATGGGGAAAGGGAGCAGCGAGATTGGTTTATCTGGTATGCATGTACCATGCTAAGCTCTCCATCAAAGCCTTGATTAAATGATTGCACCATTTGTTGTCATTTATGCCTCAGCAACTAGTCAGTGTCATATGATGTGTCTCCAAAGGCCAAACTACACATTAGATTAAGACTCTCAATGCAATTATCTTCAAAAGGCAGCTGGTGGCAAGTTTTGGATCAGGGTCACAATGGGGAGAGGGAAAACTGCTACTTTTTTGAAGAAGAAGAAAATGGTGTCAGTAGTTCCAATCACAGTACACAACTGTGGTTTGGCCCTATATCTCAGTTGTGAAACGTCTGTTTCCTTTCATGGGATTTGAGCCAGCCTAGCTAATAGTTATTTTCTATAAGTGTTGTGAGAGAGCCATCCCACTCAGGTAGTAGAGTCATAAGCCCTGAAGACATGCAGAAAGACAGCAAGTGAAACTGGAGATGAAGTCATGGTGAGAGCCTCACATGTTGAATTTTTGCCTGACATGCAACTGGTAATGCAGAGGCTGAGAACTTCAGGTGAAGGGGCCAAATGTGCCCCTCCAAACTTCTCCATCTGGGCCTTAGGAGGCAATACACCCTCCTCCAGTTCGTTTACCTGGCTGGAATGTGTCCTTGAACTGTAAGAAAGCTTCTCATTTCTCTGAATGGAGAGATAAGGTAAAGGGACCCCTGACCATTAGGTCCAGTCATAGCCGACTCTGGGGTTGCGGAGCTCATCTCGCTTTATTGGCCGAGGGAGCCGGCATACAGCTTCCGGGTCATGTGGCCCGCATGACTAAGCTGCTTCTGGAGAACCAGAGCAGCACACGAAAACACCATTTACCTTCCCAACAGAGCGGTACCTATTTATCTACTTGCACTTTGACGTGCTTTCGAATTGCTAGGTTGGCAGGAGCAGGGACCGATCAATGGGAGCTCACCCCGTCGCGGGGATTCGAACCGCCGACCTTCTGATCGTAAAGTCCTAGTCTCTGTGGTTTAACCCACAGCACCACCCGCGTCCCAAATGGAGAGATACATGTGTGGAAAGACATCTCTGACTTGGTACAATAGGCTGCAGTTCAGCCATGCGAAAGAGTGACATTCTGCGGCTCATTCACCACTAACATGTGGCCCATAGAAGGTTGCTCATGGGGGAACGCGGCCCTCAGACTGAAAGAGTTTCCCCATCCCTGTGCTAAAGGCACACATGATCTGCCTGGGGATGGGAGGAGGAGAGAGAGAATTGGCAACCTCACAGGGTCGAGCCATCTGGCCGTAGGTGGACCTTACTTTGCAAGAAACAAGGAAGGCCTTAAGTTCCTCAGAGACCTGCTTCTACCCCCACAGTTATGTAATTCCATGACGGACTGTGGGAATGGAAATTAAAGTCCAAGGACACAGCGGGGAAGAGTCGCCTTTGAGTGGGAAGGCCCGCTCTCCTTTGGTGGAAATATGTTTTATGAGCTGAAGCAGAGACACAGCTGGCAGCTCAGGAATTAAAACAGCCAGCCCTTTTCCGCCCCCACCTTTAGCATGTCTTGGCAAGGCAAACATTCTGCTCCGTGGTCCCTTGCTTGACAACCACGTCTGCAATGGCTAAGGATATCAGAGAATTTGGTCGGAAATACAGAAATTGCTGCAATTTACCTGTCTGCCCAAGGTCAAGAACGGACCTTTGTTTTTGTCAATGAACATTACATATCTAACTGCATTGTTTTCCGCATTGTTTTTGACGTTTCCCTGCTATTGAAATGCACTGAAGTTAATTGCATGGTTAATTACATTGGTTTCAGCCATAACAGACAGCAATACGTATAACATAGATTTCAGCAGAAGCTGAACTGTAGTGGAATGGAAACAGCACCGATTACAACAAGCACAATGACTTTGAAGAACATTTCTAGTGAATCATGTCAGACCACACAAACTTCACACCTTCCAATGCAGGATGACAATATGTATTTGTCAGAGAGCAGAGGGAGGATAGATAGTGAGTTAGTTAGTTAGATGGATAGATAAATATTTGCATCAGCCACAAGACATTGCAGTCTGTGTACCAAGTACAGCATATATAAACACAACCACACATATAACATTGCCACACTAAATGAGCAGGCATGCAATTTAAACTCAAAGCATCACTGTGGCCCTTATGTTAAGGGCAGCCATTAGAAACAATGAGGTGCTTATCCTCAGGCCCCTACTGGACTTAATCGCCTGCCTATGAGTCTTGAAGGCCACTCCCTGCAAGGCCTTTTCCACCTGGCCTAGAGGGCAGGGCCCAGACTCACCCAGTTCTACTAAAGAGGCCCCCCGGGGAGACATCGCTATGCCTGACAACAAATCCTAAGTACAGTGGTGCCTCGGGTTAAGTACTTAATTCGTTCCGGAGGTCCGTTCTTAACCTGAAACTGTTCTTAACCTGAAGCACCACTTTAGCTAATGGGGCCTCCTGCTGCTGCCGTGCCGCCGGAGCCCAATTTCTGTTCTTATCCTGAAGCAAAGTTCTTAACTTGAAGCACTATTTCTGGGTTAGTGGAGTGTGTAACCTGAAGCGTATGTAACCTGAAGCGTATGTAACTCGAGGTACCACTGTATTGGATTCTTTTGCCCCATCTTTTTGTGCCTGCCAAACAGCTGTGTCGTGCTTATAATATTTTATTCTCTTGTTAATTTTGCTGTTTTAAATGTGCGTGCTATATTTGACTTCACTTAGCAATGTTTTCTTTTGAAATGTTTTGTTTTTGTTTTTTGTTTCGTTAACTTTGTGTTAAGTATGTATTCTGTAGTTGACCTCCTTTGTAATGTTTTATTTTGAAACCTTTGAGATGGTATTTTGGTTTAGCCTTAATTGTGTTGCTTTGACTGTGTACTTTATATTTGACTTCCTTCAGAAATGTTTGATTCTGCATTGTTTTATTGATGTTTAATATGCCATAATGCCATAAGATTTTTCTGAAAAACATAAAGCGGTATCGAAATGAAATAACAACAACAACAACAACAACCCAGTCTAGATTGACTGGTAGGGGTGCCAACATTTTCATTGACTCTGCAGGTCCACAAAGAAATTTGGCAAGGATGCTTTTCCTGGCATGAAGATCAAAGTGATGGGGAAAGTTTAACCTACAGTGGTACCTCGGGTTACAGATGCTTCAGGTTACAGACTCCGCTAACCCAGAAATAGTACCTCAGGTTAAGAACTTTGCTTCAGGATGAGAACAGAAATCACGCGGCGGCAGTGGTGGCAAGAGGCCCCATTAGCTAAAGTGGTACCTCAGGTTAAGAACAGTTTCAGGTTAAGAACAGACCTCCAGAACGAATTAAGTTCTTAACCTGAGGTACCGCTGTACTTAACTTCTGTAAGCTGAGCTGCTGCTAAAAACATAGGAGCTGGATCAGTTTTAAAAGGTGGAAAACTTTCTTCCTTGCTTTCGCTGCAGGGAGCAGGCATACAGACATTCAGTTCTGTTGTTTATTAGTTAGCATATCTATACATACATGATGCTTTGCACCATAAGATCATAGTAGATCACTGTTCAAATTATTATGCTCCAAATTACTTTGTGAGCTTTTAAACTGGTTCTCCTTGGTTGTAGTAGCCTGCCATGCTTTTGTCCACACTACAGTCTCAGGTCCAGGGCCTGATGGTAGCCCTCCAGCCTCAAACCACACCCAACATTGTCCCTTCATCACAACTTTAATGTATTTGCCTGGCTGGACTTGTGTCCTTGAACTCTGCCAATACCTCTTGCTTGTCTGGATGGCGGGGAGAGAGGGGTGTTGGTGGATGCAGAAACTAGATCACCATACAAAGGTAAAATTAATATGTGTTGCTCCTCCCACTTCTGCCTCTGGCCTCCTTCACCACTGGCACGTGGCCCTCAGAAGGTTGCCCAAACACAATGTGGCACTCAGGCTGAGAAAGTTTCCCCACCATTGGTCCACACCACACTGGCTCCAAGGAGGAAGGGTCAGCAAGAGCTTATTGGAAAAGCTCAGACTTTAGAGAGATCTGAATGAAAAGAAAAGGTGGTGTGGGCACTTGTATAGTTTAGCCGTCAGGAATTTCCTGTTACTGTACTGTTCTTCTTTCAGAGGGACAATAAAATTCTTGTCTAGCTTCCTGACTGGTGGCTCCACAAAGCCTTCAGTGAGAAGGTGTTCTCAAATGGAGCTTTGGAGATAATGGACAGCAACGAGGTGGAATCGTTAAGAAAGCTGGGGACCTAAGGGCAGTCAAAAATGGTGGGAGTTCATTTATCCACCATTTCACCCTGCCCTGACTGCAAAAAAATAAATGAAAATATAATAGGAGGCACCAGGCTCAGCTGCTGTAGGAACTATTGCAGGCTTGCCAAAATGCCTAAACCTTGCCAAGGGGAGTTGAAAGAGGCCATTCCAACACCCACATGTAGCTGAACAGTTTGAGAAGCCCCAGAGAACAAGTGCAGACCTCAGCAGCTTTTCCCTGCTGGCTGGGCTTTTTTTATTTTAATGGGCTCCCTGAATGATGGCAAACTCCATTCTCACCTGCTCCCCAGCTGTCTTTCTCTACAAAGTCTTATTCCACCCCGCTCAACTGTAAATTCTCACAGGCTTCTTAAAAATCATCCACCCAAATGCGAGACATCTGTAAGACGGATTTGCAGATTAGTGTTAAGTGGAACTATTTATATTGTTATCTTTGGGATGGTTCGTTTCTCCTCCCTCTTTCTCTCTTTCTTTCTCCCTTTCTTTTTAAATTGGCCTGTTTATTTTATTTTCACTAATGAGGCAACAGTTAGTTTTAGTAATATCCTACATGTGTAATATTAGCTCATTTACTCCTTTCCCCAAACAGAGCTACTACAAGCATGTGGGACTTAGTTTTAAGACTACCAGCAAAATCCTAGATTGCTGTAGGACACGCATTATAGATTCTGAAGCAAAGCATTCAGAAGGTCTTGAATCAGCCACCAAATGGAAGGGAGTGGAGAGAAGCACCTTCAGGAACAAGAAACCCCAGGATCTACAACTGGTATGCATTATTTCAATGAGCCTATTGATACTGGAGTCTTAAATTGCTTTAAAATGCATTCCTTCACCCCAAAGGATTACTGGGAACTGTGTTTTTATGAGGCGGACTAGGGCTCACTGCACTGAACTATAACAGTTATTCCCTCTGTTTCCGATATCCTGGTGTGAGTGCCATCACTTAGGTAGCTACCAATGGCATCATCTGCACACAAGGGGGAGCTATCAGTGGGGTTTGGGGGATCCCAAGACAGCTATTTCTGGCCTGCTTTCCGCTTTCTGCAATCAGCACCATTTCTGTTCCACTGCACTTTGGTTTCCACCTATGTTACTGATCTCACTATCAACTATGGCCAAAACAAACACAATTAATTACATAATAAACCTCAATACATTTCAGTAAAAGGGAAACATCAAAAATATATATTTTTGGAAAATAAATACATATAAAAACCAGGAACCTACACAGAATCAGATTGCAGAATTTTAAAAAAATGACTGCAAATGTCACCCATATTCACATGCATGATTTCATCCCTGACCTTGGATGAACATGCAAATTGTGACAATTTCCACTCTGATTTCCAACAGAATTTTCTAACATCCCTGGGGAGAGGATGGAAAACTGAGCAGGAGGTGTAACTATCTTATTAGAACAGCACTTGGCACTGCAATATTTTGTTGCAGGTCTGGCTTGCTCCTCGGATACTTTGGGGTAAGCCATGACATAGGAAACTGTAGTGTGAGTGCAAGACATTTTGCTTATTGACACACAGTCCAAATACCACCCTTTTAAGGTTTGCTAGCTCACTGAGATACCAGTTCTAACCCTCATCTATTGCATCTGGGTGCCACTGAAGTAAGTTGCTTCACCCTGCTGCATTGCATGACTGGCCCTGAAAAGCTTATACCAGGTTGGACTAGTTGTCAATCTAGCCTAACCAGTACAGTGGTACCTCGGGTTAAGAACTTAATTTGTTTTGGAGGTCTGTTCTTAACCTGAAACTGTTCTTAACCTGAAGCACCACTTTAGCTAATGGGGCCTCCTGCTGCCGCTACACCGCCGCTGAACAATTTCTGTTCTCATCCTGAAGCAAAGTTATTAACCCGAGGTACTATTTCTGGGTTAGCGGAGTCTGTAACCTGAAGTGTATGTAACCTGAGGTACCACTGTATAATTTTTTCTGACTGGCAGCAGCCTTCCAAGGTATCAGGGAGAGGTCTCTCCCATTGTTCCATCTTCAGTCTCCTATAAATAGGCAAGCACCCTTTCATTAGGAGACGAGCAGAGGTCCCAAGATTCATCTTCCTGTACCTGTGCATTCTTTAAATAAATAAAAAATTCAGATCTGTTTCTGAGTCGTTCTGTGCACTCTCCTTTTTTATGTGTAATTTGGCTTCTGAGCCACTCTGTAGAACATAAAGCTCCCTGTTTCCCCATTCTCTATGTCACATTTTCCCCTTTTGGCCAAAGTGGATGAAATTTACAGGCACAGGAGTCTTTCCAGAGTAGATTACAACCAGGCTTTTGTTGGCATATTAAAAGGGATTCACTGCTGCTTCTGGGCACCTTCCTCATGCCTTTACATCTCATGGCACTGCTATTACTACTACTACTACTACTACTACTACCACCACCATCACCACCATCACCACCATCACCACCACCACCACTGCTCCAGAGCTCAAGGCCACCTGGCTACTTTCTGAGCAACTTCTTCCTCCCTGCACTGTTGTGACAATCTCGCTGGAGTTTGCCTGGGCTACCCACCCAAGCACCACCTATTGGTAATCAAGAGAACTCCAGCATGATGACACATTTATATTTTTATTATATAGTAAGAAATATATAATCTCTCTCTCCCCTTCTTTCTCTCACATACAATACTCATCAATCAGCTACCTGATTCTTTTTAATTGGTTTGAACCAGGGGTGTCAGGCATGTAAAACTTGGGCTTTGTGCATAGAGTTCCCAGTTTGCATGCTGTGTATGATTTTAGCAGTGTAAGAGAAGTAGGAGCTGACTGGGCAAAGCATGCGTCAGGGACTTGGAGACAAAGGGATCTGGGTGAAATGGGATAGAAGAAGCTCTGTCTCTTATTTCTCAGCAAGTGACCTGACAACTCAAAAGAGGAACAGAAAGAACAGAGGAAAAACAGCTACATGTAACAAAACCATCCTCATTCCCTGGCTATGCAATGCCTCACATTTCTAGCCTCTTAGCAGAGATTGTTGGCTTTATTTCAAGTCTAGAAACACACTGAATTTCCACATGACCTGTTTATTGAGCATTCATCCTGATTGGTTTGCAGGGAAATTCGATGATGTTGGCTATTTAAAGAGCATTCACTCCTGTTTGTTTTCAGGCAAGCTTGAAGTTGTGACATCAAAGCAAGCATTATCCCACAATTTCCACTGCATTGTCCTGCAACATTCCTTATCACAAACCAACATGAGCTTGTTGCACTAGAGCTCCAAATTGACTTCAATATGCAACCTTGATTTGTAAGTATGTGATTAAAACCCACTCCAAAATAGTGACAGTATGGAAGTTCCCCAAAGGGCTGGAAACTTGCAATAATAATAATAATAATAATAATAATAATAATAATGTCACTGGCAAAGCAACCAGATCCCATGTGTCTATACCTGATTCTTGGTAAGATCACTGCTATGCAGATTTACATCCCTTTAGCACAATACGTTTTGATAGGGCTTCAGTGTCAGTGTAAATGCAATAAGGAAGGGGACCTTGTGGATTTACCCCAGGAGGTTGTTCCACAATTTAGGGGCCAAGGCAGAAAGGCTCTGCCTGTCATGCTTGCCCACCAGCCCCCCTAAAGATCCACAGGACAGAGCACAAAGCCTTCAGTCTTGAGGCTCAGAAAGGTTTGTATGGGGAAAGGTATTTCTTAAAACCCGTATACCGCAGGATAAGAGTTAGCATGTGTGCAAGCTCTGAGTCATTACAATTCCTAGAAAAATGGAGTTTGACATTCCCGGGGAGGGCTTGGTTGCGGCTGATAAAAAGAGAACATCAATGTCCAATACCTTTCTGCAGCTTCTTCTTCTTTTGGTTGAAAGATGAAAGTGAGGGGGGAATCTGAAGGAAGAGATGTATGGAACAGAATGGAGATAGAGCCTCTAATTGTTGGCAGGTGCTCTTCAACGTGGCTGGGAAAATTCCCCTAATGATTTCAGGCCAAGCTGCTCGTAATCTTAGGGGAAGGGCATCTCAGAGTCCTTTGGACTTCACAAGGTCAAAGGGTCATTTGCAAAGCAGCCATACTGGCTGCCAAAGGGTAGGGAAAGTCTCTCATTAGTTTGAAATCCCGGTTTGCTCCCCCCCCCCCGCCCCAGCAAATAATTTAGTCTAAAAATGTTCATGGCTTTTGTCTGTAGCCTAATTGCTCCCTTGCCTGAGCTTTATCTTGTGTAGCCTGGAAAAAGGGGGGGGGGCGGTGTGGAAAGAGAACAGAGCAACTTACAGTGACAGCTGCTCTTTTTAAAAAAATGATGCTATCATGATTCTCAGATGAAGGTGTTTAATCTTCATCAGGCCATCAATTTATTGCATTATTTAAATGCCCTTTCCCCAATTTGGAAAGTGTGGAACCTGTGGTGTAGGTTAGGCCAGTTCATGCTGAAATCTGCAAAGCTCAAATTTCTCAAGCATTGCTCTAGATGAGATGGCCTGATCCTGCAGACTTCTTATGTAAGGAACCGCAGCAGCACCAGCTGTGTGATCAGCTTCCAGAGCTCTTTGGGGATGCTCCTGCGTCTAATCTGGAAGTTTCAACTAGAGCAGAATGTTGTGGTTAGACTGGTGATGGGAACAGACGACCGCCAACACATGACAATGGCATTAAAAGCTCAAGATGGGCTTCCCACCTGCTACCAAGGAAGGTTCAAGGTTCTTGTAGCAGTGTACAAAGCCCTGAAAAACTTAGACCCAATACTTTAAGGACCACTTTGTCCAGCATGTCCCAAGCCCACCACTGAGATCATCCAGGAGAGCACTATTGGTGGTGCTTTTCCAGGGGGAAGTGTGGATAAGCCCCAAATTGCTTTCAGGGATACATATACTAGACGAAACCGTGTACAAACATGCATAGGGCAGATGCACATAAAAAACTGAATTGTCGCTGAAATATGGAGATTTTTTAAAAAAACACAAATTGATGCAGAAATAGGCAAGCTGGATTCAAGGTTGTAAAAAACAGCAGATTAAGAGGAACCAGAATGGAGAGATTCCTCCATCCCTGGTATTAAGCTACTCTGTTCTCTTAAAAATGCACCGATCAGATTCTCTGAGTCGTGCATACTGTGAACATAGGTATGTGTGCATGTGTTATCTAGACACCCTCTCCTCTGTCTGACTTTGCTCAAGCCTCCTGGTCAGAGCCAGCAAGTGAGAAAGCCGGTGCTTCCGGTGTCCAGGGTACCTGATGCTTTTGCTCTCCCATTGGCCACCCTGACAGAGAATAGCTGCAAGTTAATTCCCAGCAGTAATGAAGTCGGGAGCAGCGAAGTGTGCGTGCGTTTGGTGGAAGGAAGGGGAGGGGAGAGAAACAGCTGAGGTTAGCCCTGTCTGGGAGTAAACTTGACCTGTCCTCTCTTAAAAGGGCCATTAGTTTTTGCCACCGCCAAGCGGGAGAGCACAAGGGACGGGCCTGCTTCAAGCTGAACTCCCACTTTGGCGGACTCGGCGGGGTTAGGATACAGAAAAGACAAGCACTCCATAGACTGCCAGGCCCTGAAAGCGACTATTGTTAAGGGCTTTGGCATGAGGGAGCCCAGAGCAAAAGAGACTTGTTAGAGAGGCCCAGGCTGAATACAAGACGCTCTCAGAAAGCCACTGAACCATGCTAAATTACTTAAACCAACACTATTGACATTGCACCCAGCTCTACTTGAAGGGGGCAGTTTCTCCTTCTGTTCATCAAAAATTCATAGTAAAACCCTCCGGCGCTTCTTTCTCTGCTCTTGTTATTCACTGAGGAGGGCTCCCCCCCCCTTACAAACACACACAGACACACACACCCTTCCTTTCCAGTCCCCTGGCTCTGAAAGGAAGACGGGGAAGCCTGCTATGGGAGATCAAGAGGGTTTTTGATGCAAAAACAACAACCCAACCCTTTCAGAGTTTATTAAATCAGAGTACAAGGCCAAGCAAACCTGGCTTGTTGCAGCCAACTGGATGTCAGAACAGTCGTGCTCCCGCCACCGGGGTCTGTTGCAAACAAGTTCTTCTGTCGTGTTCTGTGTACAGCCTCCCAGATTCCCCCATCAGTCAAGGCTGACAATTTCGAATTTCCAGAGGGGTAGTAGCCGTGTTATTCTACCGCAGCAGCAGTAACAACAAAGAGTCTTGTGACACCTCAAAGACTTGCACGTGTATCACGGCATGGGCTTGAGAGTCTGCTTCAGCCAGGCGTTTTCCCAAATTGGGGTGCTTACTTCGTTCATCTGAGGAAGCGGACTCTAGCCTGTGAAAGTTTTATGGCACAACAAGAAATTTCTTAACAATTTAGAAAGCAGTACCTCAGGTTGAAACGCTGAAATTGTTCCAAGGTCCCTTCGCAAGTCTTGGAAGGCAAACTGAGCCACGGTCTTCAAGCTGATATTGGGAGGAGGTGTGTCATTTGTTTATTTTTGTTGCTATTATTTGTATTTCTTACGTGACCTTCACAAAAAAGGTCCAGGGCAAGTTATAGCATAAAAAAAACATAATTGAAACAGTAAAAAGAAAACTAAGCCAAACCATCAACCCCAAATCAATGATTCATGAGGGACATTACAGGGAGGGTACCAAAATCCATTCTTCTGTTTTCAATGATAGACAAATATGGGAAATCCTGAGTCTTACTCCCTGAAATGACCCCCACCCGTTTCCCATTGCTGCCCCTTATGCCTAGACCTGTCTCCCAGATCTCTTGATATGACCCCCCTATTTCCTTTTAAGCTCCTCCTAAAGCTCATCTTTTCCAGGAAGGCTTTGGGCCATTCCCCTTAGCCCTTGTACCTTGCTGTAACTAAGCCAAAGGATGGGTAATTGAAATAACCACCTCTCCTGCCTACCCATGTCTCCATTTCCCATTTCATCTCTCAGGGGTAGTCGATGTTGGGCTCTCCAGATGTTGTTGGATTACAACACCCATCAGCCCCAGCCAGCATGGCCAGAGGTGATGGGTGTTGTAGTCCAACATCATCTGGAGGACGCCTCTTCTATGGTTTCCCTGTGTTTGTTTTCAGATTGTAAGCCTCTTTGGAGGAGAGTATGTCATACCTGCTCTTTGTAAAGTGTCATGTGGATGTCAGAACAATAGATAATGATTCATTTAGGATAGGCCAATAGGCACAATAACCTAAAATGAGTTGCTTCACCAGCCACATTTGGATGTCAGCCTGTCAACTGATGCTGCCTGCTTCTCACAATCTACTGCCCTTCAGATGGTTTGGACTCCAGCTCCTAGTATCCCTAAGATTAGCAATGCTGGTTGGGACTATGGGAACTGGAGTCCCAAAACATCAGGAGGGCACCTAGTTGAGGAAGGGTGCCCTAAATTGTAACAAAAACGAGACCTGGATCTGAAGACAGGGGAATGTAGAACTGCTTTATAAGCCTTTTCGGCATGTAAACAGCATATAAATTAAATTATTCTATTATTACAGTATTGTATCCATAATTGATCGGCCCCTCCAATCCTCTTGCTGAGTCTAATCTGTTGAGTTGGGGGTTTCTGCAAAATCATTTCCCAAATCTCGCCTCTGACACTGGGTTGCCCTAATCCGGCTGCTCTGCCCTCCTGGATTCAATCAAAGGAGGCGAATGGCATAGCAAAAGCTGAGCATTTCTGTATATGAAGTGTGAAGAGGATCTCCCATGGTTCAGTGACTCTCTGCTAACTCAGTGGGAAGGAAATGATAAACATACTAAAGAGCCGCTGATTTGGTGCTGTGTAAACTCAGCCTGACACCGTTTACTTTGCTGTCAGAAGCCCCTTCGCTTGGCGCAGAACAGAGCACTTTTAACGGGCAGGCAGCCCCCACAAGCAAGCACAGGAGTTTCCCATGTCCACAGTTGTTAAGAAGAGCCCTGCTGGATCAGACCAAAGGCGCGTCTAGTCCAGAACCCTGTTCTCACCATGGCCAACCAGATGCCTCTGCAGACAGGACCAGAGTCAACATACCCTCCCCACTTGTGATTCCTAGCAACTGTTATTTGGACAAATTCTGCTTCTGGCAGTGAACACTGCAGATCTTGGGAGGGAGAAGCAAGGAGAAAGCTATTTTTCCACTGCCAAGGCATCTTTCCCTGATTTTGAGCATGTTTTTCTGGCCTTTCTTTCTTGGAAAAAGTCACCAAGAGGTAAACATCAAGGGTGATATTTAACTAAATAGTTGTCCTAGCGCAAGGATTAACACAATGGGATTTCCCCCTTTGCGCCCCGTGCATTCCCCATGCACTACCCAAATCTGTTCAGGATGATTTGGGGAACTCAGATTTAGGGGGTACATGGTGAGGGAGGAGAGGAGGAGACTGTTCCATTACGCAAGGAGAATTCCTTGTGTTGATGGGATGATCTGCCTAACCAGGACTTCTTTTTCCCCCCAGCCAGAGCTCACAGGAGCTCAGCTCCAGCACCTCTCAGGTGGGCGCCATTGCCATTCTAATAGAACAAGGGAGAAATTCGTGGTGAGCTCTGGCACCTCTTTTTCTAGAAAAATTGCACCATTCCTAACCCTAAGCTGAACACAACCCCAAATAAACCAAGAGTCAAAACCCACCATAATAAATCTGTTTTTTAAAGCATACAAAAACCAGGGGAATGATTCTGCACTGGAGACCAGTAAGAAGGAGAGCCCTGAGATATCAATGAAAACAAGCTCATCAAGTGACACCAGTCTCTGCTCTGCCCTTTGGCTCCTGGTCTCACCCTGCATTCTGCCCTCAGTCTGAAGAGGACTGGCAAACCTGCTACCTATGTTCTATTTGGGATAGCAGCTTGGTGGGGCACACGTAGTGATCCTCAGCACAGAATCCTACTGGTAGCTTATAGCTGAGCAGCATCTGCTGCAGACAATCTTCAAGGTTCTGGTTAACATCAAAGTCTGTTTGAGAAATTTGCAGTGATATAGGGTCTCCATGAAAACAGTAACCATGAAAGCACCTTCCTTCATCAGCCAGTCAGCATTCCTGTCCAGCAGAGAGAAGGTTATATTGGAAATAAAAAGGAATATATTGCTAGCTGTCTATCAACAGCAGTGTCTGGAATGCAAGCAGAAGACTCTTAGCAGGCTCCAAACCCTCCCTCTCTTTAACTCTGTAAAAGAAACAACAGATACCAAATCAATTTGCATATGCTTTTGTACTATTGCTTTTATTTGTTAAGGAGTGGGAAAAGCAGTAAGCTTCATCTCCTCTTTCAACCCACCCACTACCTCCATTAAATGTCCTACACTCGTCCCTGATGGGTTTGAGGAGTCCATCGTTTCAGGCTGTCAAATGAATTCACAGAACTCTGTGAACATTTTCAGTGATGGCCCCAAACACTTTCCATTTCCAGCTGTTTTTCCAGCTATTTGTGAAAACAGATGTGCATCTTCATTCATGTTGCTCTCAGTAACAGCATTGTGTTGGTCAGATCCTCTTATATGGCTATCATTGTGACATCATCCTACTCAACTGTATGAAGAACAAGTTGCTCATCTGGACCATTCCATGCAACCACCAATAATCCGTATTCAAGAGCAGTAGGTTGACTAAGACCCACTTCCTTCCTTTTACAATACAGTGACAGATCCAGGTTTTTGATGCCCCCTGGACATCTCCCATCTCCCATGGGTTTCAAGAAGAACTAGGTTACTATTTTTGTCAGAGTGCCTCTTGTTCAAGGTGCTTCCTGTTCACCTTCCTGTATTGCTGCTACTGTTGCTAAGAAAAGATTGCTTGAGGAATATTTCCCAGTGGTTGACCTTGTAGCAACCACAACAAAGCAAGTGATGGTTTCCCCCCACATTGATTTATCTGCTCATATTATGAGAAGTTCATCTCTCTCTGAAAACTTAGTACAAGGATAGCCAATAAGTAGCCCTCCAGATGTTGCTATAGTACAAATCTCATTGTCTCTGGGGATGATGGGACTTGGAGGGCACCCCACTGGCTACCCCAACTTTAGAGAAATCATTGGTACAACATATAACACTCTTAAAAGTGAAATCTACATCTCAAGCCATCAGTAGTCTACCAGTATCACTTCAGAGGCATCTGTGCAAGGTGGGCTATAATTATGAACCAGAATGGGTTTACTTTTCAGATTTCAGAAGCTCAGGAGAGATTTGTTACTAGAGTCTGGGATTGAAGTAGGATTTTCACTAATGGAGTGTAGAATTCGCTCTCCCTCACCCTTTGCTCATGGTTAAAATCATTCTGGCTCCTTCTACCACCATCCACGTTCCTATGAGCCAAAAATGCATGAACTTTATGCTAATAGCTCAACTCTGGCTCCAATTTGGGACAAAGTTCTTGCAAGTCTGAGATGAAACACATGCCTTTCCGTCAGGCCGGTAATAAGAGGCAGAGAGGTCGGAGATGTCCCAGGGCAATCGGAAACTATTTGGAGTGAGAGGAAGGAAACAAGGCTGTGATGTCCAATTCTAGATGATAGGACAGAGCCATACTTCCAACTATCCCAGTTGTCATTTCAAGCTAATATGGAACCAACATGTTATCTTGATGAGGCCTAGTCAGGTTTGGTTTGGTTTTGAACTCAAATTAGAGAAAGCAAGAACTTTTATTGTAAAAGTATTGTTGTGTTAGTAAGAGAATCCCATTCCAGTGCTTTATCCAGAAAACTTCTCCTCTGAAGCCTCCTTTCATGAGCCCATACAAAAGTCCGAATAACCTGGGGCTGAACAGTCTAACTTTAGGGTCATTCAGTTGTTTATTCTCCATTCTGTCTGCCAAGCAATGAGGAGAATTTCACCTCACACCTACTCATTCGTGTAGAAGGTGTGGTAAAACAGGCATTCATATAAGCTCAAAGATTCTGCAGAATCACAGGGAAACTTTGATTTGCCACGTGGTAAAGAGCAGACAATATTTTTTTAAGATGCACCAAGATCCACCCAGTCAGTTGCTTTGACTCTTCCAAAACATGGTTGTGTTTAGCTCAGAGATGAGGAAGCTACGGTCCTCCAAATATGGTTGGCCTTCAACTCCCATCATCTCTTACTATTGGCAATGCTGGTTAGGACTGATGGGGAGCGGGGGAGTCTGATAACTGGAGTGCCGCAGGTTCCCAGTCCCTGGTTTAAAAGATGACTGTTCTTCAAGAAAGCAATGAAATGTTCTGGGCTCATGAAAGCCTCATTAGAGCAGCACTCATTTCCAAGGCTCCTTGTTGGCCAGGGACAAGCTCACGTGTGTTTCCTCAAATGAAAGCAGCTTCTTTCATGATTATTTTTAAAGAAAGATATTGCTTCCTCCCAAAGGCAGAACCTGTTACTTGGCAAGTGTTCAGACAGTCTGGATCTTTTGGAGGAAGAGACATCAGTTCCTGTAATACGAAAGGATTTTCCTCTCAACTTGTAATTGTCTTCTTGGAGAAGTCCTCTCCTCTTCTAAGTCATCATTGGGAAGAGAGCCATACACAGAATAGTGCCAGAGCATGTTCTCTGAAGATTTGAGCACCATTCAAAAGTGTTAGATGTGGACTTGAGATGATGCATGGAGGACGGATGAGGATTGTGTTTGTAGGTGCAACAATGGAGTCCTGTTTACATGGAAAATATAATCCCTGCACCAAATGAAGGAAACGGTGAAGCTGGCACACAAAGTCCTTCCTATAATTTCGGAGGAAAAGGTCACCAATCCACTTTAAATTCTTTAATTGCAGTGTTTCTGTGGCTAGTCATTTCTTAGGAAACACAGGGAGTTTTGATTCCTTTATTGCAGGGGTGGCCAAATTCCAATCTACTCACAGAGTTAAAAACTGGCAGTGATCTACTCCCTTTTGGGGGCTTCAGGTAAAAGTTGTTGAGCTTTTTTAGGGAGGAGGATAGTTACGTGTTGTAGGGGTGCTGGCAAATATATTGAGGTTTTTTTAGGGGAGCCAAACTTTCTTAGCTTCTTTGGGGGGAGATACCAGTCATCTACCACAGATGTCCAGTGATCTACCTGTTGGACATGCCTGCTTTATTGTAAATGGAGCCTTGCTCTGTCTACTCAGAAGTCCCACTGTATTCAATGGAGCTTACTCCCAGGTAACTGGGTAAAGACTGGGCAGCTGTACACTGCAATTTGAAGCATTTTTACTCAGAACTAGGTCCCACTGAGTTCAATATGATTTACTGTCTGGTATGTTCCTGATCATTCTCACAGTTTCTTCTTCTTCTTCTTCTTCTTCTTCTTCTTCTTCTTCTTCTTCTTCTTCTTCTTCTTCGTCTATTATTTGAGTCTCCCTGACAGAGACTCAAAGCAACTTACAGCTAAAATTTTATTTCATTCCATTTATCTGTGGGAGGTCTTGTACATGATCCATTCCGTCACACATTTTTTTTCTTTACAACCATCCCGTGAGGTAGGTGAGGCAGAGAGGTTGTAATTGGCTCAAGGTGACAGGTGTACCTGTGTATATGACGTCTATGTGTGTGACAAGATCAAACATGGGAGAAGCTTCCTGGTGTAGAATAGAACATCCCTCTTTTCATTGGGAAAATGTCGGAGGGTACGTAAAAAGGACAGGCCTTTAAATTGTCCATCAGTGGTGAGCACCTGGGCAGCAGACTGAGCAGGAACAAGGGTTACCTGGTCACAGTCCTCCTCTGCACCGTGATGAGATGCATCTTTATTTCTAAATTTATCTTTGTACTTGTAGTACCTGTAGCAGCAAAACCAGATGACTTCATTTGCCCCACCTTGCAATAAACCATCTCTCTACTGTATTGGTCTCTACGGTCACAGCAGGCACTCTCCAGCGGTTTGGCTTGACCCCAGAAGGCACACTCTTCCATTATCTCCCAACGGAGGCCTTGTGAAAAGTGACACCCTACCTCAACCTCAGAAACTCTTGTGTCTGAGAACACAGTTTCCAAGTCCGGATTTGGTTATGGCTGCCTATAGCTCCAGCCTAACTGTGATGGTGCACACATTATAAATCCCACTCTGCAGACTTCAGGCCCATACAGAACCAGCCATTGATACAATCTGTTGTATAGCGTTGGTGGTATAGTGGTGAGCATAGCTGAATTCCAATCTGTTGCATAAATTCCAGGGAGGCAATACCAATGGAGTACTTAAAGCATGCAGGTTGGATGTGCATTGGATACATGCCTAACCTTTCAAAACCTCCCCACAGCTGTATTCCTAAGGAAAGTGCATCCCTTCTTTTCCAGACCCAGTGGCCTGGCAATCACAAGCTATATCATGTAGCGCTTTGTTGTTGTTTAGTCGTTTAGTCGTGTCCGACTCTTCGTGACCCCATAGACCAGAGCACGCCAGGCACTTCTGTCTTCCACTGCCTCCCGCAGTTTGGTCAAACTCATGCTGGTAGCTTCGAAGGCACTATCCAATCATCTTGTCCTCTGTCGTCCCCTTCTCCTTGTGCCCTCAATCTTTCCCAACATCAGGGTCTTTTCCAGGGAGTCTTCTCTTCTCATAAGGTGGCCAGAGTATTGGAGCCTCAGCTTCACGATCTGTCCTTCCAGTGAGCACTCAGGGCTGATTTCCTTAAGAATGGATACGTTTGATCTTCTTGAAGTCCATGGGACTCTCAAGAGTCTCCTCCAGCACCATAATTCAAAAGCATCAATTCTTCGGCGATCAGCCTTCTTTATGGTCCAGCTCTCACTTCCATACATCACTACTGGGAAAACCATAGCTTTTACTATACGGACCTTTGTTGGCAAGGTGATGTCTCTACTTTTAAGATGCTGTCTAGGTTTGTCATTGCTTTCCTCCCAAGAAGCAGGCGTCTCTTAATTTTGTGGCTGCTGTCATCATCTGCAGTGATCATGGAGCCCAAGAAAGTAAAATCTCTCACTGCCTCCATTTCTTCCCCTTCTATTTGCCAGGAGGTGATGGGACCAGTGGCCATGATCTTCGTTTTTTGATGTTGACCTTCAAACCATATTTTGCGCTCTCCTCTTTCACCCTCAATAAAAGGTTCTTTAATTCCTCCTCACTTTCTGCCATCAAGGTTGTGTCATCTGCATATCTGAGGTTGTTGATATTTCTTCCGGCAATCTTAATTCCGGCTAGGGATTCATCCAGCCCAGCCTTTCGCATGATGAATTCTGCATATAAGTTAAATAAGCAGGGAGACAAAATACAGCCTTGTCGTACTCCTTTCCCAATTTTGAACCAATCAGTTGTTCCATATCCAGTTCTAACTGTAGCTTCTTGTCCCACATAGAGATTTCTCAGGAGACAGATGAGGTGATCAGGCACTCCCATTTCTTTAAGAACTTGCCATAGTTTGCTGTGGTTGACACAGTCAAAGGCTTTTGCATAGTCAATGAAGCAGAAATAGATGTCTTTCTGGAACTCTCTAGCTTTCTCCATAATCCAGCTCATGTTTGCAATTTGGTCTCTGGTTCCTCTGCCTCTTCTAAATCCAGCTTGCACTTCTGGGAGTTCTCGGTCCACATACTGCTTAAGGCTGCCTTGTAGAATTTTAAGCATAACCTTGCTAGCGTGTGAAATGAGTGCAATTGTGCGGTAGTTGGATCATTCTTTGGCACTTCCCTTCTTTGGGATTGGGATGTAGACTGATCTTCTCCAATCCTCTGGCCACTGCTGAGTTTTCCAAACTTGCTGGCATATTGAGTGTAGCACCCTAACAGCATCTAGTGCACTGATATACATAAAGTATCAGTACCAACACCGACATGGATAGTAACACACATGGCTTCATTTTGCTGCATTTCCCACATAGGCATACCTGACTTCCTGTCCTAAGAATTCTGGGTAATATAATGTGGCATGTATTTCCTGCAGTAAGAAATACGAAACTGTCACAGTTGCCACAAGAGGGCATACCAACAACCTGTGTGCCTGTGCGCCTGAACATGACTTGTTCCGTTTGTTAATTAATGGCGTGAAGCTTGGGTAGGTATCTCACTGGCTCAGATACAAACCCTCTGCTATTCTTTGTGTAAATGGGTTCAGCCTGCTAAGCCCCTGTTTAGTCACAGAATGGCCGGCTCTCACAACAGTCCTCCAGATGTGTCATAATAAGCTGCCATGAATGTGCAAGGAGGCAGCTGGGACAGCGTTAAATCAAAAAATAGCATGGTTTTGGAGTTCCAGCTCTTAGCCTTTGTGGTATTTTATTGCAGGCTTCTTTCTTTTTTTGGAGATGTGGCGGGGGGAATGACACATTTTACTCCAAGTGCATTGATTTAACAGGACAAAGATATCTCCTTTTAAAAAATGCACATTCTTCCCGTTTTCCCTCTAGAGTCTTATATAGGGGTGCAGCTGCTATATAGTCCCCTGAAGCGCATAAGAAGATGGAGGCCTTTTGGAAGGGAAGTGTCCAATTTCTGTGGCTCCCAGCTGGGAGCAGTGAGTCACTTCCTTGCAGGAGAGGAAAAGCAAAAAACCAGAGAGAGAGAGAGAGAGAGAGAGAGAGAGCGCGCAAAGCATCCCAAACTAAAAGCAGGGTTATCATTTGGTTAACAAAATGGAAGCAAGTTGACAAGGTTTGTGGTTCAGCAAATCACAAGATAACCTACTGGCCGTATGCTAGTGTAGTTTTCTGTATTTCCATTTTGTTTGCAGATTGCAGCCTGTTTTTCCTTCCCAAGGCAGCTAACAAGAAAATGAGGGTGAGGATGAATGCAAAATATCAAAATGATAGCAAACCCTCCAAGTGTCCCTATTTTCCCAGATTTACAGAAGCTGTCCCGGTTTCTGATTTGATCCCAGAATGTCCCAGTTTTCCTTAGGACGTCTCTGTTTTCGTTGGAGAAATGTTGGAGCGTATGGAGTTATGCTACCCTTGAGCCAAGGAGATAAGTAACTATACAATCTTTAAAAGACATCTGAAGGCAGCCCTGTATAGGGAAGTTTTGTTTTTTTAATGTTTGATGTTTTATTATGTTTTTATAGCATAGCTCTCAACTTTTCCTTTTTCTTGTGAGGAATCCTACCCGGAATAAGGGAATTTCCCTTTAAAAAAAAGGGAAAAGTTGACAGCTATATTTTATATATGTTGGAAGCTGCCCAGAGTGGCTGGGGCAACTCATTCAGATGTGTGGGACATAAATATAATGATGATGATCATCATCTATTATGTCTCAATTTTCATCAGAGAAATGTTGGAGAAATGTTGATATTCCATGGTACAATCTATCAAAAAACAGAACCATGTTTAAAAACCAATTTTCATATCCAAACAGGACTGACAAGTAAAACTGTTAACTCAGTGAGAGTGATTGCAAGAACTCTTCCCACTGGCTGTAAAATTCAGCTAATTAACAATAACTGTTCTATCAACGTATACCATGACACAATGATGAAACTGATACCCTCCTAGCTTGAGAACTCCAGGTTAAGTCCTACTTTACAGAGGACTGACCCCTATTTGAAGGGGCTGTGAAGTTGCCTATCAGCCGTAATCACTTAGACAGCAAAGGGAGCAGGAACACAGATCACATCATGACAGCCCAACCCATTTTGCCATTTCTGCATCATCCATCAGTTTAATCTGTAGCGCTTCTTAAGAGTGTTGAGCAGGGGTAGGCAACCTAAGGCCCAGGGGACAGATGTGGCCCAATCACCTTCTCAATCCAGCCTGTGGACTGTCCAGGAATCAGCATGTTTTACATGAGTAGCATGTGTCCTTTTATTTAAAATGCATCTCTGGGTTATTTGTGGGGCCTGCCTGGTGTTTTTACATGAGTAGAATGTGTGCTTTTATTTAAAATGCATCTCTGGGTTATTTGTGGGGCACAGGAATTAGTTCAATTTTTTTTTCAAAATATAGTCCGGCCCGCCACATGGTTTGAGGGACAGTGGACCGGCCCACTGCTGAAAAATGTTGCTGACCTGGTGTTGAGAGTAATTAGGCGACCCCTATTCCTTTCCCAGAGTGGATTTACAGTAAAATCAATCCCTTGTCTCAGGGAATTCTGGGAATTGCAGCTCTGGAAGGGGAAAATGTGTTTCATAACAATTCTCTGCACCTGTGAGAAACTACAGTTCCATTACAGTTAAAAGCAGTATGATCCTGCTTTAGATGTATAGTGCAGGTGGGACCGTACTGGACCGATAGCTGATTCTTACTTCATCCCTAGTGATGGGGCACGATCTTACACTATACCTGAGGGTAGCAAGTAAACTTAGGAGACAGGGGGTGGTCCCCATGACTTACAGCTCCGTCCTGCAACACCTCACCTATGCTCCCCAACACCACCCAGGCAGCTGCCTCATCCTCATTGCGCCTACCTAATGGTAGGGCCGGCCCCCTCCTGCCAAAAAGGAATGAAAACATTAAGGAAATTGACAACTGTGTTGAATCTCAGAATAGTAACACTTTGGGTCGATAAGAGAGCTGTGATATTGTCACGCCTACACGTTTCATTTAAAAAGAGAAGGGGAAATCACGAATGGAGCAATTCGCTAATGGGACTCATGGGATTTTTGCAAACAGCAGCCGAGGAAGTAAACCTAAGTCTTTGGAATGAACCACTTCAGAATGCAGGGGGAGGTGGGGAAACATGACAAAATGTTTCCCCATGGAAAGGAGTCTGATACACAGAAAACTAACCTTTCTGGAAGATGATTAGGCTACAAACCCTTCTCCCGGATGTCTGGTTTTCTGCGTTCAGGAAAGAAGGGGAGTTGGGGGGTATGGAGAAGCATTTAGTTACACGAGCCCCCCTCCCAATGTGAAGTAGTACAGTCCAGACAAAGATTGACTATGCCGTCTGCTGTTTGTGAAAACTAGGCTGTAGTTAATCTTTGGAGTAGGAAAAAACATTCCCCCCCTTGCTTCCTAATGAGAAACACAAACTCAGCATTCAGGGGGACAGACAGTTGTTCCAAATCCAGGAAAATGAAGCAGAGGAAGAAGAAAAGAGAAAACACGCAATGGAATTGGGGGCTGGGAAGCAGAGATTGTAACTCTGAGTAAACTGTTGATTAAAAAAAATGCAATAAATGAGTGATGGCGTCAGACCCAGGAGAGGTGCAGAAGGAAAATTGAAAATGAGCAGGCTCTTTCCTAAGTAAGGACAGCTGCCGGGGGTGGAATGGGAACAGCGTTTTAATAAACAGTCAAGGTACAACACCTGGGAGCAGATCAGAGGCGCTGAATCCATTGGGTTGGGGGGCGAAGGGGATGTGACTCTCAGCCCAAATGAGAAGAGAGCAGGAAGCCTTTAGGAATATATTTATGTAGACAAACCTTTTATTTGTCTACATTTGCGAGAAGTAGTTCCTTTAGGGCGGCAGCACCTGTGCTCTGAGAACTCATTGCCTGCGGAGATTAGGCAGACACCTTCACTAAACTGCTTTGGAAGCCTGCCAAAAACCTTTTCTCTTCCATCAAGCCTGTCTGGACACATGATCTAGTTGCATTTGTTTTAAATTTTCATTTGCTTGTTTTAAAAAATGAGGGTTTTATGTATATTTGTTTTTCATTAGTTTGTGGGTTTGGGTTAGGTTTATATATATATATAATTGTACTCGGAAAATTAATTTTTGAGCAAGCGGTTTATATGTTTTCTAAATAAATAAATATTGCAAAATACCGTTTGATTGTTTTTTTAAGGAAACTTTGTGCATTGTTATCATGGAGTCGGTCACTACCTCTCAGGTGAGTCTACTTCAGAGGACTGTTGTGAGGATACAATGGCCGAGGGTGGGGTGGATTGTAGCCAACTAAGCTCTACTCAGAGAAGACCCATTGAAATGAATGAGCCAAAGTTAGGCCCGATCTCCACTATACATACTAGACACCAGCCAGCTTTCAACCATGGATAGCCTTCAAGCTATGATCCCACTCAGCGAGTCAACTTGACTTATTATCACTCTATAGCAATGTTGTCCAGTGTGCGGACCAAGGGCCACATGCGGGCCCCCAAGGCCTTTTTGGGCAGCCCTCAGCAACAGTTGATGCCACCACCCCTGCCCTTGTGCTGCCTTCCTCAATCCAGATAATAGAGGCACTGGGCTTTGGGAAGGAAGCGTGAGGGCTCTGACAGGGTCTCAGAGTCCTCCATCCTCCTTCCTAAAGCCTAGTGAGTGCTTTCCCAGCTTTGGGAAGGAGGTGGGTGGGTTCTAGGACCCTGCCAATTCTAGGACCCTAACAAACCCCTGTGTTGCAAAGAGAACTTCAGCAATGTCTAGGCAACACAATGACCATCTACATACACATTAGACAATCTTTTATAGAATTCCTTCAAACCATAACAAGTCCAAAATGAAATCTTTAGTCTCAAAGTCTCTGAAAATCTTTAAATGAAGCGAGGTACCAGACTTTGTATGATGAAAAACAAGCTGTGAAGCTTTGTGTATTCAACATATATGATGTCCAACACTGAACAGTGATTCCGGATATTGACTGCTGTTTCGTAGAATTCTTCGTCAGCGTGGTGGGAGGATGTATAGAATTGCTTCATAAACCCATCTTATTTCAAATGAATGTATGTAAATGAAAATATCAAATGCTGTGGAAAAGTGCTCATGTAATAATGTAGTCACTGCTCATTTACCTCGCTTCATTTAAAGATTTTCAGAGACTAAAGATTTCATTTTGGACTTGTTATGGTTTGAAGGAATTCTATAAACAATTGTCTATTGCGTATGTACATGGTCATCATGTTCCTAGACATTGCTGAAATTCTAGGACCCTGCCAGAACCTCGCACTGCCTTGCCAAAGCCCAGTGCTTCATCTGGCTTTGGAAAGGCAGTGTGAGGGCTGGGGCAGGGGTTATATTTTGGCCACACTCCCCTCCTTCCGTGTGACAAGGAAGGGTGTGGTCCACACATTCCATGTAGAAGTACTCTTGCAGCCCACTTGGTATAAGAGGTTGGACCACCCTGAATTATAGCATCCCCTAGCCAGAAGATTGCCTCCATCCAGCGGCAGGTGGATACGGGTAGCGCTGTGGGTAAAAGCCTCAGCGCCTAGGGCTTGCCGATCGAAAGGTCGGCGGTTTGAATCCCCGCGGCGGGGTGCGCTCCCGTTGCTCGGTCCCAGCGCCTGCCAACCTAGCAGTTCAAAAGCACCCCCGGGTGCAAGTAGATAAATAGGGACCGCTTACTAGCGGGAAGGTAAACGGCGTTTCTGTGTGCTGCAGTGGCTCGCCAGATGCGGCTTTGTCACGCTGGCCACGTGACCCGGAAGTGTCTCCGGACAGCGCTGGCCCCCGGCCTCTTGAGTGAGATGGGCACACAACCCTAGAGTCTGTCAAGACTGGCCCGTACGGGCAGGGGTACCTTTACCTTTACCTTTACCTTTATCCAGCGGCAGAGCAAGCTGATTGGGTGCCTGGTGCGGCGTGCGTGCCCAGGGGCGTACCCAGCCACCTGTGGGGGTGGGGCCAGCTGCCCGCAGGGTGGGGCCAGCCAGGGCAGGATGCTCCGTGGGGCCTCCGAGGAGTCTGCCTGCCTCCTCCCACTCAGCCACCCTACAGCTGAGGGGGAGGCAGTGGGCGGACCATTTGGGGCAGCGCAGAGCCTGCGGGCGCCCAAGCCACCGTGTCACTCCCAGGAGAAATGCGTGGCACAGGCATGCTGCAGGCCCGGCAGTGAATGCCGCCTGGCATTTTGTCACCCCCCTCAGTGGTGACACCCAGGGTGACCCGCCCCCGCCACACCCTCTTCCTCCGCCCCTGCATCCATCTGCCAATCTACCTTCTCCAAGTGGAAGAAGTCAAGGCAACGTTGCAGTTGTTGCCTGCTTTTTTTGCTGTCAGGGAAGAAGAAAAGGTTCACCTTAATATCCACTCAGCTGCCATGTTCTCTTGTGACATCACACATAGTCTGTAGCCAACAGCAATAGCTGGTGAAGCATCATCATAATCTCATACCTCACAACTGCGGGTTTGGCTCAATAGTGATTTAATGGCTGCATACCAGGGCTGGTTGAGGGTTTGAAAGAAAGAGGAGCAGCCAACATGACTCTTATCTTTGTACAGTATGCTATTCCACCTATGCAAAAGCCAGAGGTTTCTACACCCCACATCTTTCAATCTGCTTACAGAAGAAGAATCATCAAAGTTCAAGAAAACATTCCACCAGATGAAAGCACATAAAGGTGTGCTGGAGCAGACTTTGATATTTCAAATTTCAGTGGTGCCCAGGCATGGCCAAAATCTTTTCCCTCCCCACTTCTTGGCTTCTGTTCTACTCAGTTCACTATGTCATAGCTGCAACACCCTGCAGTGCCCCCTGGGCTCTGTGTTCAGTGGGGCAGAACTGGTCTCCTGCCCTAAATCCAGCTCTGGAGTGTGGAGTAAAGGAGGGGAAGGACCTGGAGAGCGTCTGGAGGGCTGTACTTATCTCATGGGCTGGAGGTTCCTCAGCCCTGGCATAAAAGCCAAGGGTTATCTCCAACAATTATTGTATTCAGAGTAGACCTATTGAATCAATAGACAGCTAGACTGGTGACTGGGAGTGGCCACCGAAACCATATAACACCGGTCCTGAAAGACCTTCATTGGCTCCCAGTATGTTTCCAAGAACAATTCAAAGTGTTGGTGCTGACTTTTAAGGCCCGAAATGGCCTCGGTCCTGTATACCTGAAGGAGTGTCTTCACCCTCATCAGCCAGCCCAGACACTGAGGTCCAGTGCCGAGGGCCTTCTGGCGGTTCCTTTGCTGCGAGAAGTGAGGTTACAGGGAACCAGGCAGAGGGCCTTCTCGGTAGTGGCGCCTCCCTGTGGAATGCCCTCCCACCAGATGTCAAGGCAATAAACAACTATTTTACTTTTAAAAGACAACTGAAGGTGGCCCTGTTTAGGGAAGTTTTTATTTTATTCTTTTAATGATATTTATTAAGAATTTTAAAATTACAAGAAAAACAAAAAGAAAGAGAAAGAGAAAAAACAAAAGAAAAACAAACCACAATCAAGCAATACAAATTGATAAAAATCAAAATCAAAAAGTAACAACAAAACACGTAACACAAGACAATCAAAAAGCAAAAATAAACCACAAAAATTTAAAAACAAATCCAATATTTTCAAAATGCTTAACTGTCATTGCCTTATTTCATCGACCTCCTCACTCCTCCCTTTTTTGTATCCTAGTTATTAATTATCACAGCAAATCCTTTCCATTTTTCATAATATTCTGTCATTAAATTACCTTAATCTATTTTAACCTTATCTTACTATAAAAGACCCTAAAACTTAAAACTTAGATCTTATTTATACCAGTTTCTCATAACCATAACATATTCTTACATAATTCTTTTAACATTTTTGCTAAAGCCAAATGATTTCGTTCCAACATTTTTCTAACATTCATCAATTTTATAAAACAATCCTAATAATTTTTTTAAAAAACTTTCATCCAATCTTCATCCAGCGTCTCTTCCTCCTGGTCCCGGGTTTTGTCAGTCCTTTCTATCCCATCAATCTAGTTCATTAACCTGGTAATCTTATGTCCGAGGCCCTTAAGTCTCTTCCATGTCCCTTCCGCAGCTCTTCTTCATATTTATACCTGTACTTTACTTTGTCTCCTGCTCCTTTCACTCGTGGAAACTCCAGCTTGACAGTGTTTTTGACCCTTCTTGACAAATCAGCCCCTTTTCCATAGTCCACACTAAGCTCCATGTGGTATTTAAAAACATGTTTCAAGATCCCTCCAGAATTAAGAGCCCCCACAACCCCAAATATCTCACGGCCCATTGCCAGACTTGGAAAGTCAAAACATCCCTGCATAGGGGGGTCTATCCAACCCCCCCATTTCCAAACCAAACAAAACTCTATCTCTCCAAGCCTGGCTTTTTCCAAGTTCATTTGTCAAATCCAACAACTCATGTTCCTGCTGGGCCACAGCTCCCTCCATCTCTGGCACCCAAGGTCCAGCAACATCCTCTTCCCTCATCTGATCTGTCAGAGCACACTCCTGATTTAATTCCTGGGTGGGTTCTATATAGTTACCCACTACCTGTCCAAAATTTCTGATCGCAATAGTCATCAAGTCTGTCTTCTCATGTAACTGTTCCAATAGGGCACTTGTTTTGCAGAAAGCACGCACCAGAGCTTCTGAATACATTGTTATACAAGGTCAGAAGTCTGTTCCCACGATGATAATCTGTTGCAGCTGCAGAGCTCCCCAATTTGGATTTAGTAACAGTTTCACAGGCTCCCTCTAGGGGAAGAACTTCTATTTGATCTTTTCTTTTAAAAGTAGATCTAGCAACAAAGTTTCCTTTTTCAGATATTTTGTCAATATTTTTTCCTTTAAAATGCGAAGGAGAACGATGGAATCACTATGTTTCTCTTCTTTTAACTGTCTCTCAAAGACGTTTGTCTACGGTCAATGAACTTCCCAAAGAACGTCAGTCCTGACACCCCGCTCCCAGGTCCGAGACGGTGGAAAATTACTTTTCTTTACACTCTCTTCTGCAGGTTTAACCAATCCGGAAAAAATCCCCCCTCTTCTCCTGCTTCCGAAGGGGGTTCAACGATTTTAAATGATGAAAGTTAATCCTTTACAAACGATTTTCTGAACTCTAGTTTGCCATGTCTTTGCTTTAATCTATCTACAAGAAACGGAAGGCTGACTTCCTGTTTAGACCTTCCCGTTTCAGTGCCAAATTGAGAAGAATTTCTTAGCCCAATTTTCCTTTCTACTCGCAGGTCATTATTTAAAGTCCAATTGTTCGAAATTGAGCTACTCACGGGTAGTTGTTTTAAAAGCCAAATTGTCCCAGGAAAAAGGCAGCACTCTCCGGCAACGGCTATGCAGCTTCGCTTCACGGAAGAAGCAGTTGACTCTCAGCACCGCGCCACTTGCCCCTCTTCGCTCCGGAGCCCGTACCTGGGTTCCTTTACGAATTGGGGGGGGCACGAAAGGTGCCTGCCGAGTCCCATGGTCACAGGCTTCATCCGCCTGTGATTTTTCAAAGGGTCCCCGCTTCGCCGTAGCGGGAAAGACCCGTTTTCCATGGAGCCAGTCCCTCCGGATCAGAGGGAGTCCGCCATTACCGATGGCGCCACCCCAGAAGTCCTGTTTAGGGAAGTTTTTTATGTCTGACGCTGTATTCTTTTTAATATTCACTTGGAAGCCGCACAGAGTGGCGGGGGAAACCCAGCGAGATGGGTGGGGTATAAATAATAAAAAAATATTATTATTATCATTATCATCATCATCATCATCATTAACTTGAATCCATTGATTTCAGTGGGTCTATTCTGAGTGTGAAGTATTTGGCTATCCAATTATTAAAAACAACAGAATGCAAAGACGCTAAAGAATTAAAACAAAGGAGAAGGCTAAAATCCTTAGCCTGAGGACAATTTCAGCTAGGATTGCAGGTCAGGTGTATTCCTTAGCCCAAACCAGACCTAGGGGTGGGCCTTGGCGATGTCATTAAGTACAGCACCCAAGCAGGGAGAACAGGGGACCTTGCCACCTACAGTTGTTGTGAACTGCTCTTGTGAACAGCCACTGTTAATAATCCTGCCCAGGAAACTTCGTCATGCACCAAGTTAGGGATGAATAGAAGTCCCCATTTGTTTCTTTGGGGTTATTTTTGCAGATGGTGCATAAATCATTTTGAGCTACCCCTTCCTCTGTGCTTTTGAACGAAGCTCCACTGACATGCAGCAAAAAAATAAAAAATTGAGATGTGGTGGATCTGTGTCCTCTGATTTCCTTGGTTAGGGGTGGGGGGAATTAAAGCCACAATATTATTCTTACCTAACCTGCTGTGCATAAGGCTTCTGCAGAAACGTTAGATTAATCTGCATTGCCTATGCCGTCAGAGGAAATTTATTTGAAATGTCTGCATTCAAATATTAATAAAGCTTGCTTGCTTAGGAATATATTTTCCATGGTGCTGTGCTGTAAAAGGCACCTTGCGTGTCATTGCCATTGCTTTAAAATATATATAAAGGGATTTTAAAGTGGAAAAAATGAATAATTTTAACTTTATAAGGCTGCACAAAATATATAAAGTATGCAACCAGGGGGGAAAAGAGAGATTCCATTGTCTAATGTATACAGCTTTAAAATAGATTTAAGCAATTCTTGCCAGACTTTCCAAAAGTACTCTTTGTTCAGCAGGGAAAAAAATACAATGGTTGATGTGGTGGGATGGTTTCTGCCTAGAATTGTGAGATAGAGCTTGATACCTTTTGTTTTATCTGTCTGTCTATGTATCTTTCAAAAATTCCTCTAATAATGAGCTCAGGTGGTTGAGTGCTAACTAGGAATGGGAAGAACTTCAGTTTGGCTGGCATTTTAATTCACACTTCCAAAACCATATGTAAAAAGAAACACAGTAAATTCTTTGAATGTCTCTAAATTTTCTGATGCTGTTCTCAACCCAAGACAAGTGTAAGAAAAAAGAGTAAACTGGGGAAATTTAGCATTGAAATGCATATATTAAAAATTACACATTTTTGAAGTGGTTTTCATTGATGGGGTTAAAATATTTTTTAGGGTTGCCATATTTTTTATCATTATTCTCATTATTAGGGTTTTGTGGTTGCTCTTTTTTACATATGGTTTTGCACTTCCAAAACCATATGTAAAAAGAAACACAGTAAATTATTTGAATGTCTCTAAATTTTCTGATGCTGTTCTCAACCCAACACAAGTGTAAAAAAAAGAGTAAACTGGGGAAATTTAGCATTGAAATGCATATATTAAAAATTACACATTTTTGAAGTGGTTTTCATTGATGGGGTTAAAATATTTTTTAGGGTTGCCATATTTTTTATCATTATTCTCATTATTGGGTTTTGTGGTTGCTCTG